GAATTGGAATCTTTTGCAATCCTTCCTTACTAAGGATTTTAAAATTTTCTTTTTATCTCACACAATTTGTGACTTATGGTATTAGATAAATATAGTTGACTAGATCAAAATCTAGTTAAGGATGAGAATGAGAGTGGTCCTTTTTTATGCTAACTATGAGCATGATCTACTCAGGCTTAGACAAATATTAATAGTCCCTTTATAAGTATTTTATATGCAAAATATGTATATAATGTACGTGCAACTCGTTAACCATTACTCAACACAAATATTTTGTTTTTGCTTTGGTCTTACTATTTTATGCTTTTCCATGTTTAGATCCAAAAACCACTACTCCTAATTATTTAAATAAAAATTAGGGTTACTCATTATTACAATTTTAAAATGACAAACTTCAATAATTGAGGCATTTCAAAGGTGAGGGAGGGAGGGAGGCCCTCCATAATATCAAGGCTGAGTAAGAGTGGCACGTGCGAAGCGTGCCATCCACGTGACTACTTTGCACGTGCTGCCATGTTCGTTTTCGAATAGACATGGAAGGAATATCGCACGTGTGGAACGGAAGCAAGAAGCATCAAAAGGGAGTGGTGGGTGATTTTAAGCACCCTCAAAATTCAATTAATTCCAGCCACGTGGAATTTGACCCCACCCTTCGCTCCCCCCAATTGCTTCCAACCTTTCTGAAGACCCAACCCTTTCAAAGCAGCTCACATGATCACTGACAATTCCACTTCCTTTCTCACGTGCTCCGTGGACCCCACTAACTCTTTTTCTGAAAACCATTTACTTAATCAAAATATTTTTTATTTAACATTAAAAGAATAAAAATGAGAGACTTGGGCCTTTTTTTTTTTTTAAAGCCTGGGTAAAAATTAAGTAAAATAGTAATGGGACAAACCTTATCCATTTTACCAATGGGTATTTTAACCTTAACATTGAGATTAGTGTGGAATGAGTCGAGCCCGTCTGACTCGGCCTGTACCCTTTTGCATGAAACATATTTAATACCGTCCATAAGCTTTGGGAGGCATAAAATAGTTGGCGAGTTTTGAGAATATATTGGGACTATTATTAGCAAAGTAAAAAGAGGAAAAAAAAAAAAAAGAAACAATTTTAGGAAGAGGTGTTAGGAAAAAGAGGTAGAATCATTTCTCTTGTGGTCACGTGAATTTTCTTCATACAGTAAGAATAAGGCATGATTGTACTAAATGTCCTACCTGCATTATAAAGATTATTGATTCGAGAAAAAAGATATGTCTATTTAATGAACGAAAATTTTAATTTATAAATTTAATATTAGTATAATATTTAAATAAGTTACTAAATCATTTAAAAAAATTTAAATAAATTTTTATTTTTTATTACGTTTAATGAAGTTTTTATATTTTTATTTTAAGTCAAATAATTCATTTTGAATAATAATTGACAAATTGTTATTAGTTAAAATAACACTTGTCATTTTATACCCACATAACATTAACACGGTGTTGATGTAAAGAATGAAAAATTTAAATAGTTATATTATCATGCTAAATTATTATGTTATGTCATCATCAATTGTGATATATCAACATACTATATGATCATAAATTATAACATATTAGCATGCATTGTCAGCATTATATGATATAAAATGATAAATGATATTTTGATTAAGTTAATCATTAATTAGAAAAAAATTTATTTGATTCAAAATAAAAGTTTAAAATCTTATTTGACTTAAAATAAAAGTATAACTTGATTGAACGAGTTATGGGCTTTATTCCAAGGATTAAAATTGTGTTGGATAAGAGGTTTTAGGAGGGTTCAAGTTGAATCTGACTCCTTCCTCATTATACAAAAATTGTCAATGGTGAATAATAATTTAGATCCGAATGACATCTATTGAGAAACACTAAAGAACTACTCTCACGAGATGGGGATTGTCGAATATCTCATATGCCTCATGAAGTGAACTAACGTGATTGAATGGCTACACACCATGATGATTTACCTTTAGGACTTAGTGTTTTTGAGTTTTCTTTTTTTGGAATTGTTCTTATTTATTAGCTGATGCTATAGGAGTTGCTTAGTCTAGAATGATGTAATAAGCTATCTTACTTCCACTATATATACATGTATATATATATATATATAAAATTTGATTAACGAAATAAAAGTATAAAGATTTATTTGAATTTATCCAAATAGTTTAAGAATTTTTTTAAGGATTATATTTTTAATATTCACCATAAATTTATATTTACAATTCAAAAACTATATTTATTAAATAGATGAAATTCTCACATATAAACGCAATATTTATTTCTTTTATTATTAATGAGATTCATAACATATAATTTTCAGAGATACGAGAAAAGTGAAATCATTGTTTTAAGAACTTAGGTATCGTTTGGTATTAGAGAAATGAGAGTACAATCTGTACAATGTATTCAATTAAATTACATTGTAATGTTTATTTTACAACAAATCATTGTAATGTAAGATTGTAATCAATCACATTACAACCAATAAATGTAATGTGATTGCAATTTAAAACTAAAACAATTACATTACATTGCACTTTACAATGTTATTAAAAATATTTTTACTCTTCAACTCTATTACTTTGTTACAAACATTTTGTAGTGTTATAATTAAAATAAAAATATTAAAATAAAATATATAATATAAGAATCAAAAATTAAAATAAAATAAAATAATTAAAATTTATATAATATAGGTAAAAGAAATTAAAATAAAATATATAATATAAAAAATTATATTAAAAATAAAAATAAAATATATAAGATTATAATAAAAATAAAAATAAAAAATATATATGATATTAAAAATATATTTAATATATGATATTATACAAAAATTAATAATAAAAAATACAAGTGTTTAAATTTACATTTAAATAAATATGAATACTTTTAAAAATTAATATTACATTCTTAGTAAAATAATTGTAAAACGTTACAATGCTATTTTTTCAGTATTTTAATTATTATTTTATTTATATATTAAACACTATAATATTATTTTTTTTATAATCACATTATTTGTAATCATATTACATTATAAAATATCAACATCGTCTTAAAATAATATTTTTTATTTGTATGGAGGAAGGGGGGTTAAAGATAAAAAATGTAGCCACGTGGATGAGATCAGGACCGCTATTTTTGATTAAGTTGAGCTGTAAGCATCGTGCTTAAACGTGGGCAGAGGAAAAAAATAAGGGGACAGGCTATGATTGGGCAACAGGAGGTTCGAAGAGCATAATTAATTAAGCTAAAAAACAAATGTTTTATGAGAAAAGCAAGAAAACTAAAATAAGAAAACACACAGTTCCCGAAGAGCAGAGGGGAATCCGGCTGCAAACTTGGACACTAATGTGGGGGAATCACAGCGACAAAACCTGCAAAAAGATCGATTCCTTAGCCTTTTGGGGGTTGAATTTACTTTAACTACCTCATTAATTACAATTAATGTTTTCTTAATTTATTGCTACTGACAACTATAATGCTTTCAATTTTTTTTTTGCACTAAATTTCGGTACAAGAAATATGGATATATCCTTAATGTTCTCAAATTTACGTGTTAATTGTCAAGCATTGTATTTAATCTAAAGAATATTATGATAAACAATAAATTAATTATTTTTATTTTAAGTACTATTTTCACTAAATTTAAGAAGAGACAATAACTATCATTTCAATGAGTACTTATAAACATTTGTAATATTTTTCCAAAGACAATAGCAAAATGTACAGATTTTTACAACAAGTACTCCAAAGACACTTTTTAGGACAATTATACAAAAGAATATCTTCATTCAACATTCTCTAAAGTAATTATATAAGGAATTATTTTCATCCATGAATTAAAAAAGATCACATTAATTGTCAATTAATATATTTAATGCAAAAAAATTACTGTGAGTAGTATGTTAATAGTGTTTTTGGGATAGTAGTTTCAATTAATATAAATTTTTAAAATAAAAATGAAAACCTCAAATTGGGGCTATTGTTTTTGGAACATATATATATATATATATATATGTTTTATCGGTTAATAAATACTAATAAAGAGGGTGGTTTTATCGGTTAATAAATACTAATGAAGTTGCCGGAGGTAGCTTGAATTGTGAAGGCAGCGTAGTAGTTGTCTGGCCTAGCTGTTGCCCTTTTAAGTGACAGCTGCCACAATTATGCTTAGCTGCATCTTACACTCTTGCTTTGACTCTTTGGATCAATTATCAATTAATGTGAACATTTTTGTAAATATTATGTAATAATGTGATATTTTGTGAAGTGATTGGTATAAAAATCTAGTCATGAATTATGGAATAGAGTCTCCAATTAGCAATGATGTTGCAATTTGTTGGCTTCTAAATGGTTCCTATTGTTCTAAGTTGTGAGGTACTTCAACTTGCCATATCATTTGAAGTGAATAAACGCTGCTGCTTTCAAATTAATTGAACAGCCTTAAAAGACTAAAATTAAAACCTTAAAAAAAAAAAGTACTAGTACTATTACCTAGTAAGTTTTGAAATTATTTTGTGCCCAAAAAGATAAAAAGAGGAGCTTGACTTTCCTAGGTTTGAAGTTAGGACCAATCACTTTTTAGGTCTAAATGACCCAATTATTCAAATTTATTTACCTTTGTTTAAAGCAATGATACCTTTTCTTAATGAGGCCAAAGCTTACCATTTGCCAACTCATAACTTCACCAAATCATAATATTAACCAAACCGAAAAAAAAAAGATACTACTTTGAAGTAACATACTTAAAATATTTTACTTGCCAAAAACAGAAAAAAAAAAATAACCGTAGTTTAATTTAATTATATTAAATTAAAAACCCTGTACAGAACTTGCAAGTCACTTCCCATTATTATTAAATTAATTCCCTGCTTGCATGTAAAAAGATGCTCCAATTTCCTCATATTTACAATTCCGCCCTTCCTTCACTCCTCAAAACCCACCCCTTCTCTTCAGTCTCCACTCTCTCTCTTTGTCACAAACCAAAACGCTCTTTCTCTCTAAAATCTGTTTAAATTTTTCTTCATTTTATCTCTCTAGATAACCAGAAACCTTTCCCATATATACGTATATAGGAAGTTTTACATTGTAAGGCTAAATGGAGGCGGCGGACTTCTTCGTCGGAGGATATTACGGCGGCGCAGCTGGCGGTGATTACTCGTCTGAGAAGAGGATGTCAGCGGAGCAAAAGCTCGCTGAGAATTTCACCGTTGACGACCTCCTTGACTTCTCCAACGAAGACGCCGTTATCAGCGACGGTTTCTTTGACAATGTCGCCGGCAATTCTACCGATTCCTCCACTGTCACCTGCAATTCCTCCGCTTCCGGAGGCGATAACCATTTCTCCTCTGCCAATTTCCCTCACTCCTCTCAGTTCTCCGGCGAACTCTGCGTCCCGGTAATTAAAAAGAAAACTTCGTTACTTCTCCTATTTTTGCATGGTGAAATTTTGATTTACGTTAAATTAGCGTAATTATTTTTAAAATTTTAAATTATAGTTTTGTCGATATTTTAAAAATTAAACATATACTTCTTTACCAATTGCTGATAATTAAATTAATTTTTACACATTTTCTTTAACTAAATCTGTAATTGAATTTTGGGAAATGAATTTGGTTTTTTTTTTTCAGTATGATGACTTGGCGGAACTTGAGTGGCTCTCAAATTTCGTTGAGGACTCGTTCTCAACAGACCAGAATTTACAAAGCAACCTCCAGATTTTCGCCACGTCAAAATCTCCCACACCCGAATCCTCCTCTTCGTCCACCCGAATCGATTCCTTAACCCGGAGCCCAACCAACCCAATTTTCCAAAACGACACTCCGCTCCCGGGTAAAGCCCGGTCCAAGCGTTCAAGGGCAGCCCCGTGCGATTGGTCGACCCGACTCCTCCACCTCACCCCGAAATCCACCGGGCAGAAGAAAAGGGATAATCCGAATGCCAATTCGGAGTCGTCGGGCCGGAAATGTTTACATTGTGCGGCAGAGAAGACCCCACAATGGAGGACAGGGCCGATGGGTCCTAAAACGCTTTGTAATGCGTGTGGGGTGAGGTACAAGTCGGGTCGGTTGGTACCCGAATACCGACCCGCTTCCAGCCCGACATTTGTGTCGACGAAGCATTCCAATTCGCATAGGAAAGTTGTGGAGCTTAGGAGGCAAAAGGATTTGCAAAGAGCACAGCAGCAACAGTTTCTTAGTCAAACATCGATTTTCGGCATATCCAACGGTGGTGGTAGCGATGATTTCTTGATCCATCATGGTGGGCCCGATTTTAGCCACATGATTTAGATAGACTCTTAAAAAAAAAAGAAAGAAGGAAAAAAAACCAAGAGCTTAACAAAGAATTGTAGCCCTTTCCTAAGTTTTGAACTTAAAAAGAATTTGAATTTTGTAGTTTTATTTTGAACCCAAAAAAGCAAAAAAGAGAGGAACTGTAGTCCTACAATCCTAATTGATTTTTGCCCAATTGGCAGATTTTAGAAATGATTTTTCTTTGAAATTATTTTTCTTACTATACATATATAAATATATGTAAAATCTTATTGGTTGGATAGGCAGACACTTGTGTGGAGCCGAAGGGTGAGAGAAAAGGGTTGT